CAGGAGTACCAGGTGACATTGGAAAAGAAGACGTTCCAAAGCAACCGAGAATAACATTTCCAGCGAAGTCTGGTCGCCATTTTAGTAACAGCTGGTATGATCGATTTCCATGGCTGGAGTATTCAGTGTCAAGGGACGCCCCTTTTTGATTTCCATGTCGGGTGTTTCACAATACATCTGCGCGTGCATAAAAATTCATCACTGAAGGCTACACAGATTGGAAGCATGCTGTAGGTGATACTGGAAAGGGCCTCGAGAAGCATAACAATTGAGGTGTCAAGACAATTACTCCAAGATAACGTTGCCAAGACAGAAAATCAGGACTCCAATCTTGTTCTTCAAAAATTATACGAGCAGAAATTGGCTTTCCCTAAATTATATGCACTGGCTGCAAGCGTTGCCACATTCGGTTCTAGTACCGCTGTGTGTGAAAGCAGCTTTTCAACTCTTACTCGCGTTGACTCACCACAACGACGATCTATGACTCAGCTTCGCCAGCGCAATCTTGTTCTTCTTGCCCTCAACAGGAAGCGTACCCAGAAAATTAACTTGGAAGTATTTGTTCAACTTTTTTCTCATAAAACATACCCGACTACGTTTAAACTAAAACGGCAATAAAAATGTAACGTATTATAACTTGTTTGTTTTAACAAAAATAATCTCGAATCTAAAATACTCCATGAAAGTCCGTTTCTGTTAAGGTGCTTAGCTCAATTGCCCCCCTCGATTGCACGTTTGCTTTTTTTTCATTCAACACTAGAACGCAATAAGAGTAAGACAAATCACATCTATTAGGGGCGTTTTTTATTTAAACTATCAATTATTGTGATATAAAAAACGGCCATCAATTTAAAACGATTTCATTTCATTCTAATGCACGTTTTGTAAATGAAAGTATTTGTGTATTATGAAATGGTATTAATATAAGCACGTCTAGGTGATATCTGATATAACTAACGGTAAAAATCTCCTTGTATTTAATATTATAATAATATATGTAACTATTGACTTACTAACAATGTCAATATTGTAAATACCCCTAACTTCACAGTCAATATCAAATCTTACACTATCATATCTTGAAAGGGTTTGTTCGATACATTTTTGACAAATTTTGCGAAGAAAATAGACAAAATAATGACTTCTAGATAATGAGCTACAGGCCTCAAAGATCCCTGAACAGCGCATTGGCAAAACTTTCCTTGTAATCTGTAACCCAATATGTAGCCCGATAAATCTATACAATACAGACAAGGGGTAGACTTGTCCCGTTTCCGTACCCTCAACTGTATTGTGGTACCAGAAGGGACACAGGAACATTTCAGAAATCCAGAAATGTTTTGATGAATTCATTAATGGACCAACTTTGTTTCAAAAGTTTTGCCGAATTCGGCCTTTGTCATGGTGAAAATATTTTTATCAGTTTCCAAAAATAGATATCCAGAAATGGATCAGAGCAACTTCCATTAGTTGGTATTCCGAAAAAAACAACGTAACAAAAACTTTTCCCTATTCAATTCTTCAATATGGTTTTCAATGCAATTTTCAGTGGCACAATGTGTTTTCCTATTCATGCTGATTTACTTGTTGGGATTTCGATCATAACATTAAACGTATGTTTCATGGGAGAACTCTGTTAAACAGACATTGTATTCATTGCAGACCAAATTAAGAGACTTGTGAACCGGTTGAACTCCACAGTAAAGTGCCCACAGTAAAGAGTATTTAATGTGCAAAGACAAATTTCAAAATTTCTGACGTTCCTGCCTTAACAAGTGCCCTCTAAGATATCTACTCTAGGTATGTCGGGGCGCCCAGCAGTGGCTTGCATTCGGAGCCAAAGGGGGAGGGGGGGGGGGGGGGGGGCAGCCACCCTTCGCTGCCCCGAATGCAAGTTTTTCGGGCATGACTACGTTAGAAATTCGCCCAGAGGTTTTCGTTCTGATATTCGATGCGCATAGCAGAAGTTAATATCTATCGACTGTTAAAGTAACTCACCAGATGGCTATTTACGACAAGCAGTTATTAACTGAAATTTTCCGAATAGGGACTTTACTATCCCGACAAAATCGTTTCTCGAACGTGATATACGGATGGAATATCGACGCGTTCAGGCCGATATCCCATCCGTATATCACGTCCGAGGAACGGGTGCGGATATATATGTTGGGCTGGGACTTCACCAATATTCTCAATCTCAAACCTCTTGACCCCCAACGGGGCTGACCACTGATACAAGATACTGATAAAGAAGAAAAACAAATTGTCTGCTAAAATAAGAAAAAGCAAACATTGCTATCATATTAATCCCTGCTGATAATCTGATCTTCTAATAGAAAAAGGTTTTGATTTTTAGAGTGGAGTTGTCATATTACACTAAGTTTATGAATAAAAGTGGTATATAAAACGGATGGATTACTTTAAGATTAAAACTAATGATAGTCTCATCTTATCTTCACCTACTTTATAACATATATTATATTTTCTAGGGAATACAGGGATAAAAAGTTCAACAACTACGATACCATTATACCAATATTCATATTAATATTCCTTACAGATCACAGATAAAACACACACTATACTCTAGCTTAGAGTGTCAACTTTACCACGTCAACAAACCCCTAGTCCAACCAATACTTGATGGACATTAAGTGGACCAGACTAAATTAAATGTCCACTTGAGAGACAGTGACCACGACTATATCTCGGGTATATTAACTTTAAGTAGTCTGTGATGGTGTCAAAAGGGTTTGGCAATAGACCTATGACTTTTTATCTTAGTTCACAAGAACTTAAAAGGGGTATATTTAGTTCCATTTTCAAAAAATAAAGGTTTTTCTAAGTATGTGCACTTTTGTTGTAAAGAGGTTATCAAATCTATTTATATGTATCAGGAACATTGCAACCATTCCAATTTTCAGTCAAAGGTGGTTATTGCAATTCAAAAGCGTTTTATGGTGTCACTATCGTAAAAGCTGCTTATGATTTCCAAGAGACTTTCATAACATGATCGTAAAAACCCTTTAAAGCTATTCGAGTGAAGATATTTCAGGGCTCAGTAGAGAAAACCTTTGGTGCCATGTGAACGTTTGCATACATTGTCGCAACAGTACTTGTAAAACCTACTTAACCGTCTTAAGTATTCAATATTGACAGGAAAATACATGACAAAAATTGAGTCACATAGTTAATAATAGATCCTTGTAAAATATGACAAAGTTACGGCAAAATGAAATAAATCTGATCGTTTTCCCTTGGTACACTATCTGATGCTGAATGATTTATAATTATGTAACTGATCATCTCATACACGTTTTTTTTAAAAAAAAAATAGTACAGAAGATAAACGGATGTGATATATAAAAATTGTCGAATAACTGCGAAAGGTTCTATTTATATGACATTGATGAATTTGCTTGTTTGCTGTCTAAACATTAAATTATGTGAAGAAAGTTCAAATTACTTCAAATAATACGAGACACAACTGCACAATTTTCTTATCTGCTCACGAATGTCTCCTCCCCCTAGCTATTAATCGACACCTGCTATTTATTTCTTTTCAAATACAGTATTTTGTGAATTTAAATCTATTTTATCTCAATAATTGTTATTTATACTTTACTCTATTTACCAAAATTACTTCTGGGAATCGCTTTCATTTCAGAGCTTTATTTCAACTTTTTATGAAATGATTACTGTATTAGAAAGATAGTGGTATATTGAGATTTCTGTATTAGAAAGATAGTGGTATATTGAGATGTCTGTATTAGAAAGATAGTGGTATATTGAGATTTCTGTATAAGAGAGATAGTGGTATATTGAGATTTCTGTAGTAGAGAGATAGTGGTATATCGAGATGTCTGTAATAGAAAGTGGTATATCGAGATGTTTGTATAAGAGAGATAGTGATATAATGAGATGTCTGTATCAGAGAGATAGTGGTATATTGGGAGGTCTGTTTCAGAGAGATAGTGGTATATTGAAATGTCTGTATTATAGAGATAGTGGTATATTGAGATGTCTGTAATAGAGAGATAGTGGTATATTGAGATTTCTGTATAAGAGAGATAGTGGTATATTGGGAGGTCTGTTTCAGAGAGATAGTGGTATATTGAAATGTCTGTATTATAGAGATAGTGGTATATTGAGATGTCTGTAATAGAGAGATAGTGGTATATTGAGATTTCTGTATCAGAGAGATAGTGGTATATCGAGATGTCTGTCATACTAATAGAGAGATAGTGGTATATTGAGATGTCTGTAATAGAGAGATAGTGGTATATTGAGATGTCTCTACCAGAGAGACACTGGTATATTGAGATGTCTGTAATAGATAGTGGTATATTGAGGCTTCTGTATAGAGAGATAGTGGTATATTGAGATGTCTGTAATAGAGAAATAATGGTATATTGAGATGTCTGTATAAGAGAGATAGTGGTATATTGAGATTTCTGTATAAGAGAGATAGTGGTATATTGAGATGTCTGTAATAGAGAAATAATGGTATATTGAGATGTCTGTATAAGAGAGATAGTGGTATAATGAGGTGTCTGTACTATCGAGAAAGTGGTATGTTGAGATGTCTGTAATACTAATAGAGAGATAGTGGTATATTGAGGCGTCTGTAATAGAGAGATAGTGGTATATGAGATGGT